GAGAACCAGATGGTCTCTCTTCGATGAAGATGAAAATATATGGTGTAGATTATATAGGTTTGCAGTGACAAATGACAACAGGGCAATATCGATCATTAATTCTTTGTTTGGAGAATCACATGTAAGACTATCATCGTTCTTCTTTATTGTATCGTTTCTTGTTCAGTTCAAACAGAAATTCATTTATCTGATGAATTTTTGTTTATTTTTTTATCAAAATTGTGTCTGCCTGCCAAATATTCATTTGCAAGTATTGATTACTTTTGAACATACGAGTTCTTGAGGGAGACAAAGGTAGTGAGACGAAATCTGTGACTCTTCTGTTTGAGGCCACTCCCAGTCAGGTTGCTGACGGCGTGTAAAGAAAATCCTTCCGCATCGTACGCCTTTGCTTCTCTTATCCCTCATCCATCAATGTGTCGCTCCGATTTTCATCAAGAGAACGCATTCATTCATTCTTTCGATAAGATTAAAGTGATTTTGATATGAAACATAAAAAAAACCATCCGATTTAATCGTTAGTAACTAAAAAGCATTCTGAAATGACATCGATTCCATTTCGTCTTTCTGAAAATGAAGAACTAATGATCAACCAGACATCCTTGTGAGAAGCAACAATTAGGAGTAAATAAATGAAACATCTGTATTTAACAATTTCTCATCGCTATCATTCTTGCCATTTACTTGATTTATAGGCATCGTTTATCAGTTTCCTTGAAAGGACGAAATAACTATTCGTAGTAAAACGCTTCTTCCAGAGTCTCACTTATAACAGCACAGAAAAGATTGCAAAAGAACCATTCTGATCAAAGTCGAAAATTCACACTGCACCCTTTATTTCCTAGTGATGATCGAGGAACAATTCAAACTAAACTGACTTTATTCGTGAATATAAGAAAAATGAAAATATCAACAGAAGCATACAAAGCAGAACATCAAGAAAAGCTATCATTTTTATCTCTCAGGTTAGACTGAGCGAACTTTTGATGGAAAAAGAGATTGTGCTAGTTCGTACATTATTCGAGGCACCATATGCATCCCGTCAATTTTTTGATCACCAAAAGGCATGTCGGCCGACATCCATCGAGCCAAACTTTCATACCATCGCAAGGGACCCATGTAAAAGTGAGCAGCATCATGATTTTGCACATTTGCATAACAACTAGCAGTCACATCATTCAGTAGGATTGTGCCCATGACAATACAGAAAACATCCTCAAGGCAGTAGAGATGCTATTGCCTTACCTGCTCTGGTGAGCGGAGCGAAGAATTCTCTCTTCATTTCCCGTGTCACTTGAATAACTGGTGAAAAGATTAGTTGACCATTCAACCGTACACGTAGAACATCGCCTACTTTGATTTCTTTCGCCGGAATGTAGTTCAGAGTTCCATCATTGACGACAAGCAGAATGAGATGCAGACCAGTCAGACTGATTTTGTGTTTGGAACTTGTCTCGATAGTGTAGAATAGAGCTGATAACGAAAAAAACCTATGAGATGTACGCAAGAATAGTGCTGCAGAGACCCACTCTGTGAGAATCAATCTTGGTCAAGCATCATCATCATTCGAGTGACCATACTTGTGCACCCTTCGGTCGTGAGCAGTTCGTGGCCAGGTTTGAGATATTCGATGGCTATTTTCTTTCCATTGGCGAGCGTAACTATTGAGTTACTGGCGAAGCAGCCGGATGCATCAGCCGCCGCTGCTGCTGCACCACCTTCGGAACCACCTGCTGCAGCTGCAGCTGCACCTAGAATATACATGTTGTTGGACAGGTCAACAGACAGCTAAATCTCGATAAGTCAAAAAACACCTTAGTTTTAGAAAGAAAACGATGTTGTCTTTTTCAGTGAAATATCAGAGCAAGTGGCGATCGCTCTCTTTCGATCTCGATGATTCGTATACGTAGACTCACTTTTATCGGCATTCTTCGAAGCATCAGCGTCGGTCTTCGTTTTCATGGGTTCAAGACTTAATGGATTTGTTTGACCAGTGATCATAAGAAGGACTATAACAATGACAATGATGGAGCACTTCAGCATAATGATGTATAGTCTTGTTCTCAGTGAAGATAAATATGAATAAATTGATTCGAAATTTTTTCTCACTATTTATTTATTCAGCAAGAGAGTGTAGGTGGGTGAAAGTTGGAAAAGATTAATTCTGATTTCTCATAAGAAACCACATGAAATCGTACATGACTGATTCTCGGTAACGACTGTAATATAAATAATGACGTTGCCGTGTGTCTATGGAGAATAAAAACATGTTCTCTTCTCAATAATTGTCGAATGCTTTTATTTTTATTTTCAAGAACATACGAATAAAAAAAATTCGGCAGCTATCTGTTGGTTCTCCTTCCAGAAGAAAGAGTCGAAAATGAGAAGGGTGAGTGTGGAGTGTGGGTGTGCGTATAAGTCTTCTTTTAATAAACACACCCACACCCTTACCCACACCCACACTCATACCCATACCCACACCCATACCCATACCCCACACCCACACCCTCTCAAGTAAACAATATTGTTCGTTGATGTATTAGTAAGTGAATAGTTTTTTACTAGAATTTTTGGTACTACTGCACTTTAGCTACACCATTGATATCGACAGAACGAGAAAAAAAATCAATTGGTTAACGCATAACCATTAAATAAGAAGAAAAAAAAATATGACATATAGATGTCATATAAGAATAGTGTTTGTTAATGCTATAAAAAAGATATATCGCTCTATTAATTAAGATGATCTTTTAATAAAATAATATAACTCTTTTATGTGATGAAGTTCAGATTAACAAAAAAAAGAGGCACATATTGATAACACATAAATTGCAATTTCTATCAATAATGAAATAATAATTGGGTTCTTTGAAAAAGATAAAATAAATTTTGTAAAATAAAAATTACTGGTATATATAGCTGATGTTTTCACGGAATTTCTATCATAAATTCAACAATCATAATAAATTCATAATAATCATGAATAATAACATAAATATCGATGATATTGATAAAATAAATCTCAGAAAATTGCATGCATTAACATCAACGACAGATCTTTATAGGCACTACTATTCATTCGGACGAATGGAAGGCGTATAAACGTTTAAGAAATAATCCTAACTATACTCATGTTACGGTCAACCATTCAGCTAGTTTTGTCGATCCTGTAACCGGTGTTCATACACAAAATATAGAGACCACCTGGATGCGTATAAAACGAAAACAAAAAAAACAGAACGGACTTGCAAGATCACTTTTACCAACATATTTAGAGGAATTTGTCTGGCGTCAAGATTTCGGGAATAAACCATTGAAAAATTTAATATTACAAATTTCTGAAAATTATCCTGTTCAATAATTGTTATATACGTATTTTTTTTTCTCTTAATAAAACTCTCGTTCTTATATGACATCTATATGTCTTATTCTTTTTCTCTTATTTAATGGTTATGCGTTAACCAATTGATTTTTTTTCTCGTTCTGTCGATATCAATGGTGTAGCTAAAGTGCAGTAGTACCGAATTTTTAAAGTGTATGGCTCATTTTCACAAAAGTGTCGCAAATGTGTTTTGTTGCATTGCCTCTCAGCAAACTGAACATAACCTCTTTTTCTTCGGGTACATATGGATATCGCCACCATAGTATAGTTCTTTAGATTTTTGTTGAGTATCAGTGTGAGGGTGTCAAGCAGCTTGGATATATTCGTAACAAAAATGATCATCCGGATCCACATACCATTGTGCACAACGAGATTGGTGCTAATATCAGCGTACACACACACCACGAACTCTTTTGAAATATTGGGCACTAGCTGTGTTGAAGACTGTAAAGCACTGTAAAATATCAAAGGGCTGAATATACAGTCGAGGATCAAGCGAGTCACACGAACGAGAGTTACTTGTTTCTTCTATAGCAGTAGATTCTGAAGATACCTGATGAGTCCCTTAAGCAAGGACGAAACGTCGTATACTGCTTTGAATCTATGTTTTACTTTAATAAAGCAACCTTCTTGAACACATGGAACAATCTCCCGCAAATATACAGCGCTTCAAAACATATTGAACTTATCTTCCTTTCTCCGACATCTATGTTGACAAACTATCTTTCAATCACAAACAAACAGGTTCAGTCAACTACTCATAGTTTCTTTGTGATTTTCGCATCATCTGAATAGAGTTAGTACTTATTCTAAACCATCTGGTGAGACCCTTGAGCAAGGTCGAAATCTGGATCATGGTTTGCTTAACCCACCCACACCCTCGCAATCGATGCAGAGCCCTGATGAGTGTTTCAAATTGTTAAATATAAACATGAAACGCGTCGGCGAAATGAACTCTGCATTTCTTTAATTATTTCAGTCAAAGCACATTACAATATAATTTGGTTTGACTTGATCGATTGCTGAAAAGCAAGAGTTGAGACTAGCAGATTGATTTGTATCAAATAGATATGGATTGGTCTGTTTTGATTTGATTTACATAAAGCTTGTTAGCGCAGCCTCTTTGGGGCTGAAATGTGAAACTCACATATCTTCTTTGGTTTCATTATACTAATGATAGAATACCCAATATTTAAAATCTCCAAAAGATAATAATACTTTTCTAAACATAATCGATTATTAGAAAATGCTGTTTTTATCTCTAAATTTCGAACAGAAGTCTCTTTTTGGCGAAGTTGCCACGGTCTGTAGTGGGAGCCTACGTTGTTAGGGTCTGTAAGGTGGGGAGGGATGTATCTATAATGTTTTCTTTCGTTGCTATGTGCCTGTAAGGGGAAGGGGGAGCCGCAAAACTTCGAACTTAAAACTTACACTCACTATTTTTCTTCGAAAATATATGTGAGCTCCACAAAATAATCAATCTGTGTTAAACGAAATAATACTTTTATTAAATAAGTAGGAGTAATGCTATAAGGATGTTAATAAGGATTAATGTTTTTTTTTTAAATTTTAATGCAAACGCTTCTTTGTAATAGTATATTATATTCTGGTTCTAAAGTTAGTAATTAAGGTTAATTATGGTATCGATTAAACCATCGCCTGGAAAATCAGCCATTATAATACCAACATATTTAAGTTTCTGCGATCTTATATACTCATTGGTCAAAATATTCGTTCCTTCGAATGCAATTTTACAAACTCCCATGAAGCAGTTTACTCGAGGAAAATCAGGATAACTATTTTTTCCACCTAGAGTAGTAAGTCCTGTAGACATACGGTTTGCATCTGTTTCATACGTAGAGTGACCACTTGCAACAAAATAAGGGAAAACACCTCCGCTGCCACTTAAATAATTCATATAGGATCCACTAGCAGCATTTGAATTTGCATCGATAAGATGTTGTTTTACTGACAACCATTTGTCGTAAAGATCCCAACTTGTAAGGAGTGAGTATTTATCTTGGATTTGAAAAGAACTCTCATAACTCAAACCACATGAAGAACAATCAAAATTTACAAGTATTACAATTTTCCCTCTAACATTGCCAAGGAGTGGATCATCTGTTGTTTTATCCCAAATTTTACTATATTTCGGTTTATAATATAAGAACGTGTCTGTAAATGACCGTGTGTTGCCAGAAGGAGATGATTCTTCTTTCACTCTAACGAGTAATGTTTCTTTTGAATGACTTTCTAAGAATTTTGTCATTGTCTGTAGAACATCATCGAAATTGACTTTTAAGTAGAAATCGCCATGGTGTATAGTAAAACGATCATCAATATGTCGACACCGTATATCAAAAGCCCTAATACCGGCGAGCAATTGTGTTTCAAGACTTAATGTTTGAGTAATGACGCTTTTCTCGAATAAACCTTCTAATTCCATTTGATAAGCCATTGTATCATGTGTGCCAAGTATTGAGATTTTTCGAACTGGAATATTGTCATTAATACCACTCATCCAATCTGCATTTCTATAATTTGTCTCACCATCATGGGAATATGCTGTATGCAGATGCGCCCAAGTTGAAAAAGGAAATAGTAATATAATTACTATCAATCCATTCATGCAATTCATGATATATTTTACCTAAAATCATTATCCAAATATAAAAGGAACGAAATCGATAAGTGATGCAAGATGCCTCACGGAGAAAGTTTATCTATTTTATGCCAAATTATCACATATGATTTTCTGAACTATTTTTCCTATATATTTTAATAAGATTTTGTAGCTCTGGAAGCGTACTATTAAATCACACGAAAATCTCATCGGCAAGTCATCATTATAATAGATCAGAAAGCAGATTATCGTCAGCCGTCAAGGGTCACATATACATAATAATCATTGAATATTTTACTCTACCTGGAAACACCTGTAACAAATGATATAAGGTCCATTCTACTGAAAAATAGTTCAGAGAATCATGTGATAATTTGGCATAACGTAAATCAACTTTTTCAAGGGAGCAGATTTCATGACTTATCAATCCGGCCTTTATCCTAATAGTTTCATATTGTCCAACGAAACGTTTATGGCACACATAACTCACTAAGAAATATGTGTGATAAAAATTTGAGATCAATCCATTGAACGGTTTATGTGATATTTTTGGATTAGGACTTACACCTTTCAGAAAAGAGGCCAATTTCAGACTACCAGTAAAATGCAAATGCATGAATAATTTTTAGAACGACTTTTACCAAAATGTATAGAACTCTTTTCTCTATCACATATCTTCAATTGAGTAAGATCTCACGACCACGATTGAGGAATGTCGGTCGTGGCTTTTATAGACTGATTCCTAAGAACGTTCGGACATCTTAGTGGACATTTTCAATAAGATCAAAAAATCAATATTCCTTTTCGAGTTTACTTTGTTAGTCACTGTCGAGAAAATATTTTTTCTTACTAAAATATTCTCCTGCATATCACAGATCAATCTTGTGTATACATACTTGGAGACTAATGATTGTTGGTCGTTGTTCGGAATGTGGCTCTCATTGATGAAATGCATGGGTTTGTATAGTCTCTATCATATGATTATTCCTCTCCTCTTTCTTTCGCTGTCCACTTATCAAAGAATTTATGATTTCAAGATAAGAGCAGAGGTTGTACTTAACTTTATTTTTGATAATAAATCATGAAGACTGTTGTTTTTCTCTAATCCAAGTGGACTTATTTCTACAATGCATTCAAAGTCGAAAGTATCTAGCAAAAAAAGAGAGCCATCTTCAAGGAGAAATGAGAGTTTTAATCTTGAAATATTGTACAAAATGTCTGTTATGGTCTCTTTAATGAATCAATTCGAAAAGAATACTTTTTTTTAGTTGATACGATATTACCTGTTTTGGACAGTGTGTAATTCATATTTGCCACACTTTGGAAAGAGAAAAAAGAAATCCCTGGGCGATAAATTATTTTCAGTTTCGTATTGATCCATAAACAACGCTCTACAACAAGACCTTTAATCACACTTAAATGTCATATTTACGATATTTCTTATGTTTCAATAAATGTCAAGATAACTAACATTTTATAAAAACCTTTTCAAAATACACTAGAAATTCGATTGACATATTTTGTAGCAATATACTTTTTACGAGCTCTTCTGATTGTGCAAAAACCTACCAAGGGTATATTATTTGAATATCGTTTGCTAAAAGAGGCCTTTTTGTAGCATCCAACTTACCGGTGATTTAAAGTTACTCTGCTCTTCAATATTATTACAGCTGTGTTCGGCATCTGATTAACATTGAAATTAGTCTAAGTTATTTATTTTATATTCAATGATTTTGTTAAATACTAAAATTCATTTATTTCTCATTTGATTGATAGATAATTTAAATCTGATTATCATTTTGAATTTCTGAAATTTCTTTTCACTAGTGAGACATGAGACATTGGATGGTTCACTCACTTTCTATTGCTAATATTTTTTTTTTGAAACAGGAACTGCAAGGAGTATTGAAGTGTTTATAAGAAGAATTTCGTGCTTGCTACAAATTGTGACAGAGGAATTCTAGAAACATCACAGATCATAACAGACGAATATGTCACATGAAAATTTCATTGGCAAACGTAGGTGAAGTTAGCACCATATTCGAGTAAAACGATCCCATATGCGTCCAGAGAAATGCTCCAAATGTTCCAACCAATGTTCCAAGTAGAACTCGATGAGCTCTATCTAATGGTATAATTAGATTCTCTATAGATCAAACTATGCCTCCGAAAACTTCAAAATATCACGTTGTTACTATAGAAATTTTCCTGCTTTATTCAATATACTTTATAGATGTTGCAGCTGAGTTTGGAATCTAGTTGAGATTGGAATCGTTTAGTTTATTTTGTTTGTTTATAGATTTCGATAGCACACACACAAGAGAATTTGTTTGTTTCTTATGAGGTTTATGTTTATTGTTATTTCTTGAATAATGACAATAGATTCATATTTTATTTGATTGATAAACAGTTATCTCAGCTTTTATTTATTGTTTTCTTGTCTGACTATAGATTAGTCATCGTATTGATTTCAAAGAAGATTTAAAACGTATTAATGCTGGAAGATGATTTGCTATAACATCATTTCTCTCTGAATTCGTATGAAATATAGTTGAATGTTTTTTCTGATGCTGGGGACATGGGGACATTGAATGATTAGTTGAAACGAAATCTAGAGCAAATTAGTCATCTGTATTATTCTATATTTGAAATTGTTTCGAGCAGTGGAGCATTGGGACATAGAGCAATTGGTTGAAACAAATTTTAGAACTGCAGAGTCATTATTTTATTATACTATGAATTTTTTGAAATGCTCGGAGCGTCGGGACACAGAGCGATTGGATGAAACGAATTTTAGAATTGTTGAGTCATTATTTTATTATACTATCAATTTTTTGAAACGCTCGGGACGTCGGGACATAGAGCGATTGGTTGAAACAAATTTTAGAATTGCTGAGTCATTAAATAAAAAAAGTCAACATTAATTATCTTATGACTCATGCTATAATGTTAGCTTGTTTATTTATTCCGAAGTCAACTGAATTC